AACTAAATCCAAAAGCTCTTCAACTATCATCACTGCAAAACATGCAGACCTTGCCAGCATCCTGATTACAAACTCTTTGTTTATCGAGCTGGCTGTTGGAACTGCTTTTATCACTGACTTCAGCTCTGCCACAGGCTTGCCAACACGCTGAGCAAGTCTGCAGAGGGCAGCATCATCCAAGCCAAAAGCCTGGCAGTAACGTCTCATGTTTACCTCCAGTATGGCTATGTCAGCAATAATAGAGAGACCTAGGACAGGAACAGCAGTTACATAGCCCCTGACAGCAGGGCCAACTTCCATATTTCCCTCTTAAATGCAGCTTTCTTCTTTTCCAGGATCTGTGCTGAGATGTTGGGCAGGGCAAGGATGAAGGCTCGTTTCTTTTCAACATCCAGATCATCCTCTAGTGCCTGCTGCAGCAGATGAAAATCGTACTTGGCGAGATCCCAGCTGGAGATCAGGAAAACCCGTGGAGAAAGCTCACCTGCCCCTCTCTTTAGGTTCTCGATGCAGTCATTGCGGATCTTCTGCAGGATTTCCTCCTCGTTGTAGGTTCTGGGTCTGCGCTTCTGAGCTGCATACAAATCAGCATCCACTTTGGAGCGCACGTAGTAAAACCTCTTTTTCATTTTCTGAATTTCCTGGGCGAGCTGGGTGTGGTGAGTAGTGAACCGGCTGGCAGTGAGGATGATGAAGAAGTCATATTTTTGGAAACTCACCTGCTCAAGATATTCGTCTGCTTTGAAGTTGGGAGTTCCAATACCAGGCAGGTCCCAGATTGTAACATTCGGGAGGGTGGGGTGTGGATAAGACTCTGGCTGCATCGTTGTTTCCACTTCCCCAGTCTTAGCAGCACCTGCATCTTCATCCCCAAGGCCCCGGATGGCATTGACAAAGGTTGATTTTCCAGACCCTGTCTCCCCAGTGACAGCAATGTGAAGTTGAATCTTATCTAACGTCTCCAGCTTCTCTTGCAATTTCTTTGCTACAGCTTCAAGGTTTCCTGCTTCAAATGTTGTTTTCATTTCTTCCATCTCATCCTGGGAAAAGTTCCTGAATTCTTCCTCATCTGCAGGCAGGTTGTTAGCAGCCATGATGGCCCAGGTGAGCGGTTGTGTTGGTCTGTGCTACGAGTCACAGAAAAGAGAAGGAAAAAAAATTCACATGACTTATTCACACTTCAGGACAACCGTTCATGTGCCAGTCTGATTTCTTTGGGGAAGAGGTTAGATTTAATAACATCACTTGCAGCTAAACGAGGTTTCAATTAAGTGTAGCAGACAGTGAATTTCCTCTCTGGGACCACCTTATTTTTCTATATGCTTAACTAGCAAGGTGAACCAGCAAGTTCAACTTGGGGGGGAAAGGCACTTAGGAGGGGACATGATAGCAGTTTTTGAATCCTTGAAGGGCTGCCATAGAGAAGAGGGAAAGCACCGTTTCCCTCATCCTGCAGAGAGAATGGGAACCAATGGCTTGAAGATGCAACAAAGGAAATTTAGATTAGATATCCAGAAAAACTTCTTCACTGTCAGAGCAGGGAGACAATGGAAGAGATGCCCAGGGAAGATGTGGACTCTCCATCTCTGGAGATGTCCAAGGAGAGGTTGGACAGCCACTGATGGGGGATGATCTAGGCATAGCAATGCCTGCATTCGAGTATGGGGACGTATCAGGCTTTTGGTCTTTGCTGTTTGCCACATGGGGCGAGGGTGAAATTCCTGCCCTGCCCCTCCTATATAGAGCAAGATGTTTTTTAGCCTCCCTCAGGGGTCCTGGATGCCCAGGCTGGGGATTGCAGCGGGGCTGTACCAGTGCTGCTGCTGGGACCAAAGCTGGAGGGTCCTGTCTAGAAGGTCTTGATCCCCTGCTCAGGACGAGACGGACTGTCATTTTTTTATGAAGAGGTCAGGCAATTGTTTTGTGCAGGATGGTCTGGGTAGGGGTGATCCTGCCTCAGGCAATGGGTTGGAGTCGATGTGACCTCTGGAGGTCCCTTTCAGCCCAACTTCTTTATGATTCTCTATGTAAGAGAGGCTGAAGCACAGACAAACCTTTGAGGCCTGAGAAGCCAAGTGCTGCACTGGGTGGGAGTCAGGGGGTCTCCTCTGAATTGATCCTGAGTGTCACCCATGTGGCCTGGGCATGGCTGTGAGGGAGGTTGGAGGCCATGATTAATGTCCCCAAGGAGATTTAGGGCCTGAGAGCAAGACTGGTGCCAGCTGGGAATGTGGAAGCACAAGTCAGTTTAGGGCCTGAGTCTCACTCTGGGACCCTGTGGCAGCCACCGCAAGGACTCTAAGATCCATCAAGGTGTGGCAAGTGAGGTGGAAAAGGGAGAGGACCTCGAGGAGTCGGGGTGGGCAGGACTCTCTTGGCTACCAGGGGGTGTCAGAGACACCTATGGGACCAGGGTCTGCTACAGTAAGTAACAACAAATCATGCATTGTCTAAATATTTTTTAAATGAAAACTTGAAATAAACTAGTCTTCAAAATATTTTTGCCTCCCTAAAATTAGGGAAAAAGGATCAACAACGTAATTAAATTTGTGATATTTGCTTTTGTAATATCATATTTACCTGTGTCCAAGACAGCATCTGAGTTCAAGGTGAACCCCACCCCCCCGAGTAATTAGATGCTACACATAGAAAAATTATAAACTTATTAGACTTTCTGTGTATTAATTCCAATGAATGCAGGGTCATCTTAAATTTGATCCCTTCAGCACTACAACACAGAAAGCAGTGGTGGGGGAGAAGTGTCTGTGGGAAGCAAAAAATTGGGAAATGGAGCTGCCTGGGAAATGGAGCTACCTGCACCTTGTCTCCCTGCTGCCTACCCTCCTCACCCCACCCAGTGCCTGTACCCATCAGCCTTTCCCCTGCTGCCCCTGCCCCACCACTGCTTACCATCAGTCCAGGCTCTGGCCCCACTCTAGTCAGGGGCACAGAGCATATGCTCACTATAGCCCCTGCCCTGCCACATAGCAGCAGTGATTGTGTAGCAGTGATTGTGTAGCTCTGCCCTGCGGTGTGCTCAGAACTGGACCTGCCATGTGCCTGGGCAGAGACCAGAGTGACCCTGTGATTCATGCCATAGTCATGAGTGGGGTCCGAGTTGTCACTGATGGGAAACTTCATCACAGAGAGGTTGGGAGGGGGGCTGAGAAGTGTGAAGTGGATAGGCTCTGGGGCTGCAGGCACTGTACGGGGAGCAGAAGCATTGGGGGAGCAGGCAGGGCAGGGCATGGGGCAATGTTTGAAGATCAGACTCCAACCTGAGCCTGGGTCAGGACTGGAGCTGTGGCAGGTTTGTGACCTCCCCTCTGCTTTGTACTCAGATCCAAGACCAGGGGCTTTTTGGGCTCCCCTACAGAGTGGAGAAAAAATCTTTGTCCTGGATTAGAATAAATGCGGTATTAAGTGATTACCAATTATTATGTTCTGGGCTGTTCATCCTAAAATATTATGTTCTGAGCAGTTATTTGCTAAAATAACTATTGTAAACCTGTTGTGGTAGAAACCTGACATGAATTAAATGCTAGTTTCCTGACAACAACAAAGACAAATGCCCAGTCACATAGAGGTCAGGGCATCATGCTTTTGCTCACAGGGAAGCAATGAAGAAGACACTCATGACATCCTCAGCTGCATAACAGGGTCTTCTCCACAAGGGACTCCACAGAAATGTTCTTCTATTCCATGCAGAGAGCAAAAGGTGTATCAGAAAAGGAGTCCATGCAGCCCTTCCTGCCTGTCAGTGCTCACTCCTGAGGAATCTGCATTTAACAGACACCATCCACCCAAGCTGGTAAACTACAAAACAAGCTGTTTTAAAAATTACCCACTAAAAGCAATACCATGGGTTGTATCTTAAGCTCATTTAACTATTAAGTGATTTTTAAAACTTGTAGCAGATCCATCCAGCCCAAGGAGTAAACTGTTCAGTTAGTGAAAAGAAACATTTCCAGAAAGGAGGTGAGAGTAAAGTTGGAAAAACAGGTGTGGTCAGGGCAGTTCTGGGGGAGAAAGTTTTCTGGAGAGTAGGGAGTAGTGTGTGAGCAGAAAGGAGATGCAGCCCTGGAGATTTGTGAGGGGAGAGGCTGGGGCTGTGGCAGGGCAGGGAGGAGCTCCACGGCCAGCTGGGAAGCAGAGGGGCTGGTGCTGGTGCTCACAGCCTGAGGGGAAGGAGGGGGAGAGGAGGGGAAAGGGGGCCGTGGCCAGGCTACCTGGTAGAGTGCAGCAGCCCCATCCCAGGGCTGGGGGGTGGCAGAAGCCTCCCCTC